ATAATAATTTCTCACTTTTAGTATGATTCTAGTTTTAAATATTAAGGTTATGGCTGATTGTAAATACTTGCTGACGTGAACAAATTTTCAGTCCGGAATTTACTTCTTTGATACCTACTGCTTTCATCCAAGCTTCTATTAGTTTACTTTTTTCTCTAATTTTCCTATTTTTTACATATATAAAACGGTTAGCTTTCATTGCAAAGTAATGTTAATGTAAGTGAAGATCTACGTCTGAAGTGCTATTGCAGCTTTTCACTGAACATATTAACTTTTTATTTGATTTAACTTTAGGAGAAAACTTCATCGACTCCATTATCAATTTTTTTTTCTTTTTTAACGTGTTTCATTATTTTAATAAACAATTTTACGATTTATATGTACTATTCCCTTGGTTATTTATCCCTCATATTAGTTACAAGTTTTACTACCAGGTGGCGTATGCCCATTTGACGGATCCCAATAGAGGGAGATAGTTAGGGATATAGGTTGATATGGTTTTCAAGAAATGCGAAGATTGGCTCAAGGTATTGGAAAGAAGTGGAAATGTGTGTCCATGTAATCAGTCTTCGAGCTGAAAACACGATGATGATGGTGCTGGATAATGTACAACAGTACAACGTTAAGAACAAAAAAGGTGAAATATCCCTATCGTTTTCTTCTAGCTAAGGGTCGCAATGACACTGAGCATTTGGAATTAAATTCTTGATTAGATTTACGACGGTAGCATTGTACAAAAAAAGTGCTGTCGAACCTCTTCCTCTGTCTTGGCAAGAAATATTCCAATGCAAATTGCCATCACCTAACAACAAGCGACCGGTTTAATTGCATTTTAAGCCTTTCAACCTTTGTATTCCGCTTAATCCAATTTTACATTTTAAACGCCTTTCCCTAAATTAGAAACGCGATATAATTTGAATTCAGGAAAACTTCTACTCATTAGATACTAGGAAATTTCCTAGTTAATGTCTCTTTTAGAGGTGCACTTGATGAATTGTCTCACTGCTCTATTTGGATTATATTGTTAAAAAATTTAAATTCAGGCTCTTTATCAGTGTCTGAAGCTACCTACCAGAGAGAGAACTACCCGAATATTTTCTTTTAAAGTAATGTTCTTATCCGAAATAATAACATATCGAGTCAAATCATATTATTCTATAAAGAATTTTGTAAAAGAGTAGTTTTCACCCCTTATACAGGGTTTGTCCGGAAAGTAATAGGACTGAGTCGATTTAAAAAAATTTATTGGGTCAATGGTTACAATTCTTTAAAAACATTCGAAATAGGCTCCTTCTGCGTCGATACAGCACTGCCAGCGCGATTTCCAAGCATTGAAGGCATTCTCCGGAGTAGCCTTAAGAGCCGAGGTGCATGCTGCTTGGATACCCTCTGTCGTCTCAAAATGCTTGCCTTTCATCGGCCTTTTCAGGCGAACAACCAAAAAAAATCCGGGGGGTGGGGACATCTGGGCTGTAGGGCGGCTGCGGAAGCGTTGGGATGCCGGTAGCTGTCCACAAGAAAGGCGGTGTGAGCCGGGTCGTTGTCGTGGTGCAACTTCCAGTCGGCTGCGATGTCTTGTCGCACCCGATTGACCCTTCGTTTGAGTCTCTTGAGCACTTCCATGTAAAACTTGGCGTTGACGGTTTTTCCAGGAGGAACAAATTCATGGTGGACGATGCCTTTCATGCCAAAAAAGACAATGAGCATCGTTTTCACTTTGGATTTGCTCATTCTTCCCTTTTTTGGGCGAGGAGACGCCGGCGTGTGCCACTCGGAAGATTGCCTCTTTGTCTCGGGATCATACTCAAAGATCCGTGACTCGTCACCTGTGATTACGTTATTCAAAAATTGGGGGTCACTTTCACACATATTTAAATTTTCGGCTTGCACCACTCACAGAAACACGTCGCGCGAAAAAGCCTCTTCTGACTCTCCAGGTGCTCGGAGACAACTCACTAGCTGCTCGTTTGTTAGCTAGGAATGCCCTCTACCGAATCCAGTCGGTGCGCGCACGCTCCTAAGTACGGTCGCGGTGGAAGGAAATCAGTCCGATTACTTTCCGGACAAACCCTGTAGATGCGTGGACGAGAAAACGGTTAATTGCGTCTTCTTGCGGTCACTCTTTTCCTTTCTAAAAACAAGATTACATATTTACATTTTAATCATGTTAGAAGCCTTTCTTCACTGTTGTTAATAGAAAGTTATCAAATTCATTATTATTCGTTGTAAATGAATTACATTCAGTACAGTACGAGTTTCAAATAAATCACATTTCTGATATTAACAAGGGAATCGCGATGTTGATTATGTATTTTGCCATCCCTCTCGTTATTAACGAAAATCAGAGCTAATTCTCTAGCGGCGGTCGGAAAAGCGGCGCACCGTAAATCCGTGGCGTCGCATCGCGCGGAACTTTTGTCAATTAGCGTCGCAGTTGTTACGCCAGGTTGCACATTGCACGGGTTCGGTCGTATTACCGCCGGGCCAGTTATTATCCGGGCGATCGTTGACGGTAGCCCTCGTTGCAAATTTGTTTGGCGAAGGAGCCCGTACCCCGTGGCTGTAACCCCGTTCCGTGCCTGTGGAGCAAGCGGAGTGAGAGGCATTTGCGTGCTCTTGTCTAATTGATTTATGGATTTGAGACCGGGTTGTGGAACGAAGATTACCGTAGCGGTAGCGGATGCGGTACATGGTACCAATTGCAACCGTTGGTATCGGTCGGTGCTGGGCTGCTAGGCTATTCTGTATGTTTGTGTATGACATCGAACTAGGCGCATAATAACGCAGGTATTGTATGTTGCAACGACAAACATAAATACACGTTGAAATGTTACAGAATTTTGTCGATTCAATATCATCCTGATTAATATTTGTCCCACCTCACCACCACGCAGTTCGTAAAATGTCATAATTTTAACGAAAATGTGACGAAATAAATTTTGATTTACTTATCGTTCCGATAACGACCTGAAATCATTCATAGTAATAAATAAGTGTAGGATTTACGATCCCCTTTTAAACAGTCCATTTTAAACAGTTATGAACTAAAACTTTTAGCTTTTAAGTAAATTAATTCTGCAACTCTAGTTAGATACATAGTCAAAGTGGTCGATAACAATGAATGACTTTGAGCGGCAGTCATTGGAACTAAATAAACGGCATAATAATCCGAAAGTCCTATCTGAAATTTAGGATCTTATTTAAGGGCGGTAAATCGGATCGTAAAGAGAGCAGTGTATCCCCTAAAGTGTCTCGTTACTTCTCGCAGCGGGTAGCACTAAAATGATCTATAAATTCGTTACCTATATAATTCTTTAATAACCAAGATTAATTTCAGTTCGCATTAAAAATACACTTATTATGTGTATTGAATGTCGCATTTAAACAAATGTTTAGGTCGTTGAACTGATTGACCCTTACATTGTTTTTTTTATAAAAAAGAAGAAGAATTACCCGGTGTTAACAAACACTAACTATCGGTAGAGTCGAAAATATATTAACCGTATAAAAATTGGAAAAAAACGTATGGGTCTAAATATCTATACTCGGACGTATGGTTGGTTGCGTATAATACGTAAACACATTGAAGTACAAAAACACATGCGCTAAGGGGTTAAATTAGGTTATAATCGGAAGAGTTTCTATAAATGATATGTGTCGAGTTATACACACCATCGAAAAAGGTATTTGCACCTAACACGATACAATCATTTTTGGATCGGTTTCGCTTTCTATTGGTGGTATATTGTTTCATAAAATAACATAAATGACAACGAAAATCCGTTTCCAACGTTTCCCAATCGCTCCCTTTGAATGAGGTACGAAATGCTTAAAGAGCCGGAGAGTTGAACGAGCTTAAATCTCTTAAATGTTAGTTCAATCGACCGGAGCGCCATTAGGGGTTTGCTTGTACGTACGATTCGTTGTCGCTTATCTTTCGGAAACAGATAACCGGCTACATTAGAGCTTTCTACCCAATGTGCGCTTCCTGATAACGAAATAAGTTTTTCATATTTACCGATAGATTACACAGTAGCGCCGCTGATGACTTTCTTTTACGTTTATTCGGTTTTATGCTTTTAGCATCTTTTCATTCGCTTTTTACTGTTGTCAAATGGCATAAATGTACCCGTAATGTGTTCTTTGTACAGGTACCCCCAGAATATGAAGTAGAGTTAATTTTTTTTTTTGGCATGTTGTAAGATAAATGAATTAATCGTATGATTACAAGTAATCATGGATTATAATTTTGTTCTATATTAGTTTATATTAATTACCCATTGTTACTTTTATCTGTCTTTGGTTTTAATTTCTATAACTATAAAAAACACTGTAGTCAAGCAATAAGTACAAAACCCAAAACCAAGATAATGCAGCGCGGTAAAAACCCCTCAATACGCGAGTTGATATAACTTGTACTAGAAATGTTTTACTTTGGGTTGTTTAACATCATATTATGGGGAATCATTTAGGTAATGTCATCTTCAAAAGAAAAAGCTTACGGTTAATGAATACAATTTAGGTTATATGCTTACTAATTGGTGTTAATTAGGCTCTATAGAGTNAAAATAAAAATAGCGACCCCTTAGATTTGAGCTATAGGGCTCATGTTTGGCGAGGATTTTTTTTACATCAAATAGAAACATTTGAGGGGGTAAATTAAAATTTTTGTTTGAAGCATCCTAATATATATATAGTATTGTGGTACTACTTTGAAAAGTAGCGCTCAGTACAAACCTACGATTTTTGATCCTTTAAACTACGATATTTGTTGATGTTACAATCCAAGGACCCTCCAACGTATAGAATTGATGTAAGTGAAGGACTGTCTACATAACGTTTGGACTATGGGACTGGAACTTACTTGGTCGGTTCCCTAATGATTTACCTTCCTTTATTTTAATTTTATGAACTTCGAATGTCTCTAGTCGTCTAGTCTTCTGAATGCAGCGATAAATAATTTAGACGTAGATACAGCTTTTTTACGTCACGATACTTTGTTTGCTTTTTTTTTTTTGAGAGAAAAACAATAATTTTTGTTTCACGCAGGTTCTCGAACGAACAAACGTCTTGTCGCATTATTTGTTTATCGACTATGAAGAATAAAAATTCTAAGAGTAACAGCGACAATACCAAACATTTGTCTGCTACTAAGAACGACACTGTCATGGAAAACAAAAGTGTTGAAGAGATCACAAGTTCAGATAGGATCGACGTGGAAAATTTGCTTCCTTGCAAGAAAGAATGCATTGATTTCGAAGGAAGCGACGTCGAATACGTTGAAGACAGCAAGGAAAGCGAACGCCTGCTAGATTACATCATTCTTGACGACGACGACAATGATGATGGTAAACCTATTGATGAACAATTCCTACATGTTGGTGACACAGAATTCCAATTAAAATGTGAAATCGGAGAAGTGAAAATAAAAGAAGAATCTCTTTGTTCCGGAACGGAAAGTATCTCATCAAATGGGAATCAAACAGAAGGTGATAAAGGCGTAGATACACAAACTTTGTCAGATGCAACAGCCAAAGAGAAATTAGTAAATGCTGCGTACGCAGCTACGCCAAAAGAAGAAGGGGGAAATGAAAAAAATTGCGATTCCTTAGTGTTGACCCTTGATGAGAAAGAACTTGGTGAAATATCAGAAGCTGTGGAGTCGAAAAGTGGCTTCAACGAAAGTCAGTCTACAACACATACTGAATCTTTTGCGGAAGTGGAAGAGAAGCACGTTGTCTTAAAGAAGATTAAGCCCGTTGATAAGCCGAAAGTAACTGAGGCTGAAAGCACTTCAGGTATCCCTTCCTCGGAAAATGACACGAAAAGTTCCGATTTTATAGACAAAAAAACAGAGTTGAACGATACCCCCTTGATTAAAACAGAGACTAATCAGAAAGTTAAGAGCAATACAATTGAGCCGATACCAAAATCAAGGGTAGTGTGGGTTTCAAACTTGAAGCGTTCCACGAAAGCTACCGATTTAAAACAGCACCTGAACAAGTTTGGCAAAGTAATTACAACTAAGATTGTAACTGACGGTCGAAGGTGCTTTGGTTATGTTGTTCTCGAAAGTTGTAAAGATGCTGCAAACTGCATTAACAACTTGAACGATTCCGAATACGAAGGCGCCAAAATAACAATTGCCACGACCAAACCGATAGTAGAAAACAAGAACAATCCGAAGGAAGATGAAAAGTCGAAGTCAACAGGGGGCGAAAATAGCAAAAGCAACAAAAAACGTGCCCATTCCAAAGATAGCAAAGGAAGAAAAGAAAAATCAAAATCTAAAACGATTATTAAAATTACGAAGCGTCGCAGGTCGCCGTCGATGGACCCATTGACCACAAAATTTGATGATAAACACTTTTCGAGGATCAAAGATGACAGAATGGAAAGGGAATATTTGAGAGAGAAACAAGAAAAGGAAAGACTGAAGAGGAGGCTAGCTGAAGAAATGAAACGAAGCAGAGATGAAATGAACAGATTAAGGGAAAAGGAGGAGAAACAACGCCAGAGGGAACTGAAGCTGGAATTGGAACGAAAGAGGTTACGCTTGGAAAAGGAAATGCTAGAACGTGAAAGAAGAGAGATGATGCAACTAGAAGAGGAGAAGTGCAAGATTGAAAAGGAAAAGATAAGTTTGATGCGCCAAAAGTTAGAAATGGAAAAAAGCATTCGGGATTCGAAGAGAAAAGTCACACCCGAAAAGGAAGAACGAAAAGTAAAGAAACAAAGAAGTGCAGTTGGTAGTTTCAACTTCGATAAGTTTGATATAGAAAGACGTAGGAGATCAAGCGAACGCAAAGATGACGGTAGATACCCAAACCCAAACGTACGAAAGTCTAAAGAAAAGAAACAAACTAACTCATTTTACCGAGATAACATGAGTAAGACTACTCGCCAAGATAAAGACGTGAAGCATCAAAGCAGAAGGGATGAAAAGGAGTTTCTCTGTATTCCTCCCTCTCCGCCAAAGCTTAGCAACGACTTTGAAATCCCGAAAAGAAAACAGCAGAACGACAGTTTACGTTCTTATACAAGGAAGTCATGTAATAGTACTTCTCCGTCCAAGCAAAATCATCATTCTTACCGTAAGATCGGTTTTGATAAGCCGAAGATACATCCACCACCAAGAAGAGATGAACGAACGAACATTGGAAAGTCCTCAGACCATTATGGGCATTCCGGAAAAGACCAAAGGTACGTGTCTAGGTCTTGTCCGTTTTATGTGTAAGTTTCCGATTAACGGGTATTTCAGGATGCCTTGGAACTCGACCATTTCCAGCCAATGGAAAATGAATGGTATAGGAAGTCAGTCTGGAACTGGATTTCCTGTCAGCAGATTTCCAGACGTGAATTACAGCAGTGCCAACTGTAACACTTCTAGATTTCCACAACCTACGTTCTACAATCCTCAACCCATCAATTTGCCACCGCCTGATTACAAATATTATTTCAATCATCATCCTTCTAACAGGAAATATTAATCTTGAACGTTAATTCGTTTGCTTCTGGTGTTATTTGGTTTGAGTTTTAGCGGTTACATTTTTCTTCTTTTGATTTCGTCATGATTTATACAAGTAGTACTATCTAGTTAGAACACATTGAGTTTTATATATTTGTATTATTTGATATCTAAATATAATAGCCTCGTCTAGACAAAGTGTTTGTTTTTGGATGATTTGGCGATCACTATCAAGAGACTGGATGATGGTAAATATTGTACGTAATGATCCTCAAATACTGTTTCTTCGATAGAAAGGACAAAATGGTCAAAAGGGTTTACATGGTTTATTATTACTGCAGATGTTTTTTCTGGAATGACAGTTGAATAATAATATTAATGTCTAAGCCATTGTAAGTTGACCATTGATCCTTGTATCTTTTACAGAAGTTGGTCCTTTGAGGAAAAAGCAGTAAGTAGCTTTTGATGGAGAGAGATACAGTTTTGTTCTGTTTTGTTGACTGCTTCTAGGTGTTTATATGTTACAAGATTAATAATAAGACACTTGACGTATATTTCGCCACGTTGTGGTTTCTTTAGAATTAAGTAGAAAAAGCCACAACGTAACGAAACATACGTCAAGTTTACAATAATAAAAGTGTGGATATTTAGAGTGTTAAAGTTAAATCTTCATCATTTTAATCGAACAATTCAAATTAAAACAAACGGAAAATCTCAGTAATAGTAACAAAATGGATTTTTTGATTGTACTTAATTTAATCGTTTATGTGAGGGAAAACTTAAAATATAACAATGAGGCAATTTAATGAAATATTGGAACAATACTAGAGAAGAGCCGGTGGTTCCTGAATTCTTAGCAAAAATAGCATATAATTAAAATCATGTTTATGTCGCAGTAATAATTTTTACAAATGCTCAAAAATCCTAAAATTATTTATTATCAAAACGCTTCACCGAAGATGTAGAGAGTGCAGTGTTTCCAGTCTTCTGGGAACTTTGTATGGTAAACCCCAGTGACACTTTTGGTCAGAAAATGCTTATTGAGCTGGAGATCTCAGGAGCACCACGGGGATGATGTAAGCAAGTAGGTTCAGCAAACCAGAAGTAATTAAGATACAATTTGGTTGTTTAGCAATTGTAATGGTACTTCTGGGGTATTACAACTCAAAGGACTGTTGCTCAGGTGTATTTTATTATTATACTACTTAATATCTAACTAAATCTATAGTTGACTAAACTTGAATTTGAATTAGCATTTAAGCCGAAGTTGAAGTTTGAAGACTTATATTGAATTGAAGACTTTTTCGAAACTGATGACTTATGTTGAATATTGATAGACTACTACTTGACCACTGGTCATAAAACTATATAAACTTGGTTTATGACGTATTAACGAAAGTACAATCTATATTATTAACAAGAGATTTCCACTATTTGTCATCATCAAGAGAATTAGCATTTATCATTCACAAACATTTAGATAGAAGAATAATTATCAAGTTTAGTATTTTACATATTTATCTTATGTCTATAGTAACGTCTATAATTATTTACCAACTTCCTCTACGAAGTTAGTGAACAAATGTATACAAAAGATAATGAATAAAACTAAACAAACATGTTACGTATGGGTACACTGCACAATTATTCAAAAGTATATCCTTAACTTACGTTAGACCAAATTTTCATATATATATACATATGCATATCATCTTCGAATCTATTGAATGCGTACTGGTACCCAAAGCCAAGTGTAGATTCACTATTAATACCAATAAATTTCGCCACAAAATTCTAGCAAATAACACCATTCCTCATAAAAATCCCTTAACTATAAAATACTTAACGGAATTGAAATTAATGAAAAGTAATAGAAAATAAAAGATGAAAACTAATTATTCGAAGCATTAAACTAATACTTGTATATACTTAAGAGCGAATTTACCAAATAATATTTTAAAACGTTAATTTATTGCATAATCTACATTAAAAAAAGATTACTGTAAGATAAAAAAGAGATTTACGTAATTTCATTATCTCCATGATCAACTATGTACTAATTAGATAATTCCTAGATTATTCGATACGTTAAATTATAAATATAATACATAGGAAAGGAGACTGTGGTGTGGAAATATTAAAATAACCAAAAGGACTTACCCTAATAACCACAATACTTGTGGGGTAAGTCTTTTAGATTATTTTATTACGTAAAATTAAATTGGTAGGATTTTCCTTGTGGAAATTCAAAAATTACTTATAAACTTAAATGCAAAACTCCGCTAAATTAGAAAATGAATTTACGAAGAAGAGATAGAATTCTGTTTTAAAATCAGTCCCAACCATATATTATGTTATAATCGTTCTAATTCACATACGATAACTACACTACAAAAATTTTACAATAACGTAATTGAACCCTAACTCCTGCAAAAAATAATTAAGTCTCAGCTCCGATACCCAATTGTTTCGGAGGTCATACAACCTTATATCTTGAAGCAAAATTTAATCATCTATCTGGAAAATCACCAACTTTAAACAAAATGCACAAAAGGATTTTATACTCATTACTATTCAAAAAATAAAAAGATAGCTTTTATCTCAAAGTTCTTCAAAAATAATCTGAATTACTCAAAAGCAATACTATATACAATACTGAAAAATTTAAAGACCACCACGTAGTGGTATTACCTATACGAAATGAGGAAACTCTAAAAATCACCACGTGTAGTAATTACAAAACGATAAATTTCAAAACAAAAAGCTACTTATGTTCAAATTCGGGATCAATCACCAGGAACTAAGAGATTCAGCACCGGAAACACGAGCAGCAAAAGGTATTTAACTCCATATACACAAAGTGGAAAAGTACACGATGTATATAACATATTAATCCAGGAGAGAGAGTTTCCCTCATGAGAAAAAAATCATCGTTATTTCTACGAATTGAGAGTGCCAAAATCACGGCACGCGCGAGACAGAGAACTAGAGACACAAAGGGCTTTCTAGTTAGTAACGGGCTTTTTCCATACAAAAAAAGTGTAACCATTTAAATAGGCAACACATTATGCTAACGATTAACATATAGACGATAATGAGAGAAAAGCACGTTGTGGTGGAATATTCACATTCGGACGTCGTAGCTGAAGTGTGGCTGGTGTGTTTACGATTTGTGGCGTTAAGGCGGTGCAGCAGTGTGAACAAAAAGTAAATTTACGATTAATAGATGTGAGGCCACTTTTTTAAAAGTGTATGTAATAATTAAAAAATGGTCTCTTGTTGCGCATATGGATGTACAAAGAAATTCGTCAAGAATTCCTCAATATCGTTTCATAAGTAAGCATTCGATTAATAAATTTGAACGTTTTGTTTTATGAATAAATTACAATTATTAAGGCTCCCTACGAATCCGGAAATGCGGGAAAAGTGGATTAAGGCGGTCAGGAGTGAAAATTTCATCCTTTCGAATAACGCAGTAGTTTGCAGCGAGCACTTTTCAAGTGCAGATTTCATAAATTTAAGTAATCGTAGGAGAACACTGACGAAAGACGCTGTACCTACAATTTTTAATTATCCGGAGCATTCAGTTAAAGAATCGCTATCTCGACGATCCATACGAAACACTCCATATCAAGAAGATGCGTAAGTAACTTTTTGTTACGTACCCCTAGATAGGTACGTGAAAATAAATTCTTTGAGAATTTCTTCCTCTATTTCCAGAGTAAGTGAAATCTTCGCATCGACAAGCAACGAAACGCACAATGATAACACTGAAAGGTACTGGCATGACTGTGTTTTGTTTATTAGATTTAAACCATTAACGTAAAATGTTAAAAAAAATTAATTGGTGCGAGAAGTAGCTAGTAGTAATATTAAGTTAATTTTTTAAATTTACTTATTCTATTGAAAAATTATTTTCTGGTTACAAGGGTCACAAGTTAGAGTTTAATTTTCCGTACGTCCATGTCTGTCAATATTAAATTCGTGGTAATTTTTTACATTAGTTGACATTGGAATTGAGACATGAAGTTTAGTCAGGTAGGTAGTACTCACCAAGTAAAGTAGTGTGGTAGTATTTATTGGAATTTTGTTTATTATTTGTTTAAAAGTCAATGCGACTGAGATACAGGCTCTTAAAGTTTCCTTAATCGGAGGAAATTCCGGTAGGTACGGCCCTGGCTTCAGCCTTCCGTCAGCTGTTCCCGCCAAACATCGTTTGTCCTAAAAGATATCCTTTTAACATTATTCCAATATATCAGGGCAGGGGCATTAAAGAAACTCGAGTGTGTCATAAATCTACCTAACTAAATAATAACGTTATCAATGCATATTTGGCGAGAACAGCTGACGAAGCGCTGCAGTCAGGGCCGTACCAACCGGAATTTCCTCCGATTAAGAAAACTTTAGGAGCCTGTATCTCACGCTACATTGGTTTCCGCATGGAATTAATACTACCACACGATTCTATATGGTGAGTACTATCTACCTGACTAAACTTCATGTCTCAATTCCAATGTCAACCCGAGTAAAAATTATTCGTCAATTTCACTCTACCAAATTACAACCAAAGTAGCTCCATAAATTTCTCTAAAATATGACCGAAAAAGGTCCGTTTGCAGGACTCAGCGCGACACTTTGCCTTTGATCTCGACACCGCTCCTTTCAAATAAAATCAAGATAAAACATGCGAAAAGATACCTTTTATTTACGGTACGTTGCGGTGCTGTTTAAGGGCTCTTTCGGTTCTTTTTTAATGTGGTGCTAGTTTGGAGCTGCTTTAGAGTTTCAAATGGTTGTATTTTGGCTATAATTTTAGAATTTAAATTTTCGTCTAATATGTAGGAAGTATTTCGGTATTAATTTAGGTCATTTCCGATATTTGGAGGCGATTCGGTGGTGTTATAGTCCTTTTTATTTTTACTCGGGAACTAATGTAAAAAATTACCAAATTCGTTTATGTAAATGTTAAATTCGTCTACAATTTACAAAAATACGCATATTTGTTGAAAGCTATGAGGAAATTATCCAATTAAGTAACAAATCCGAATTTAATTAATGAATATTGAGGCAGATATACATTTGTACCTATAAGTATATCAAGCTTATTTTATTTAAATATCGGTAGGTCTATGAAAAGGCCCCCTACCATAAAAGTATTATTTTGAACTACTTAATAGATTTGTTTAACTTAATTGCGCCCATTAGTGTGGCCACTCATTAGTGTAGTTAGGAATCGGAATTTACTTGGTGAAAGTTGATGATTCAAATTGTTTAAAAATAAAACAACATTGTTGTAGACTTACCATAAAGAGTATAATAGGATAAGATGCGCAAGTTTGTCCCCCCATGAGTACTGGTAGTTTTTTTTAATTTAATTGTAAACAATATCAGCTGTAATTTCTAAAAATTTCAGCCTTGAATATCGAACCATTTAAGAGTTAAAAAAAAATCAAGAATTTTTAAAAATAGTTCTTATTTGCAACTAACGGCGGAATCATTAAAAAGGAATGTATAAATATTTCTGGGTTATTTTTAACCCCTTCAAAGTTTTATAACAACTACGAAAGTTTTTTGTGGAATTTCGGAATGACTTTACTACACAATTTGACACTGACTAATGTAGTCTCGTAAGTTCTTTTTGAAGAAGTTAATATTTAATATTTTAAAGTGAAAAATCATGATTTTGACGAATTTTAACGGTTTATAAATCCATAAAAGTCAGCATTTTTTGTCCCATATTGATAATTGAATATTAAGTTTTTATGATTTTATGTAAGTTTTTAATTTTTCTTTCTATATTGTAATATTTTTAGACTTACTGATGTTTGAAGTAAAAAATAAGTAATATAAATTTTTCACCTGTATTTTTTTCGGGTTTATTTTAAAAAGTAAAATTTGGTTAAATTACAGAAATATTTAGACTTTAGTTAGTCAGCAGGGTGGTATTTTTACATCACTGCTTTTGATTTGTTTAAGCAGATATTCCATGGTTCAACAGTTACGAAACATAAAATTTTACTATTAATCTACCTAACTAAATAATAA